TTTAACATCAACCATATTGTGTTTACAGTAACCGCAATCTGACAGAGTGACTTTAACATCAACCATATTGTGTTTACAGTAACTGCAATCTGACAGAGTGACTTTAACATCAACCATATTGTGTTTACAGTAACTGCAATCTGACAGTGTGACTTTAACATCAACCATATTGTGTTTACAGTAACTGCAATCTGACAGAGTGACTTTAACATCAACCATATTGTGTTTACAGTAACTGCAATCTGACAGAGTGACTTTAACATCAACCATATTGTGTTTACAGTAACTGCAATCTGACAGTGTGACTTTAACATCAACCACATTAACATCAACCATATTGTGTTTACAGTAACTGCAATCTGACAGTGTGACTTTAACATCAACCATATTGTGTTCACAGTAACTGCAATCTGACAGTGTGACTTTAACATCAACCATATTGTGTTTACAGTAACTGCAATCTGACAGTGTGACTTTAACATCAACCACATTAACATCAACCATATTGTGTTTACAGTAACTGCAATCTGACAGTGTGACTTTAACATCAACCACATTAACATCAACCATATTGTGTTTACAGTAACTGCAATCTGACAGTGTGACTTTAACATCAACCACATTAACATCAACCATATTGTGTTTACAGTAACTGCAATCTGACAGTGTGACTTTAACATCAACCATATTGTGTTTACAGTAACTGCAATCTGACAGTGTGACTTTAACATCAACCACATTGTGTTTACAGTAACTGCAATCTGACAGAGTGACTTTAACATCAACCATATTGTGTTTACAGTAACTGCAATCTGACAGTGTGACTTTAACAATAACCATATTGTGTTTACAGCAACTGCAATCTGACAGTATGACTTTAACATCAACCATATTGTGTTTACAGTAACTGCAATCTGACAGTGTGACTTTAACATCAACCATATTGTGTTTACAGTAACTGCAATCTGACAGTGTGACTTTAACATCAACCATATTGTGTTTACAGTAACTGCAATCTGACAGAGTGACTTTAACATCAACCATATTGTGTTTACAGTAACTGCAATCTGACAGAGTGACTTTAACATCAACCATATTGTGTTTACAGTAACTGCAATCTGACAGAGTGACTTTAACATCAACCATATTGTGTTTACAGCAACTGCAATCTGACAGTGTGACTTTAACATCAACCATATTGTGTTTACAGCAACTGCAATCTGACAGAGTGACTTTAACATCAACCATATTGTGTTTACAGTAACTGCAATCTGACAGTGTGACTTTAACAATAACCATATTGTGTTTACAGCAACTGCAATCTGACAGTATGACTTTAACATCAACCATATTGTGTTTACAGTAACTGCAATCTGACAGTGTGACTTTAACATCAACCATATTGTGTTTACAGTAACTGCAATCTGACAGTGTGACTTTAACATCAACCATATTGTGTTTACAGTAACTGCAATCTGACAGAGTGACTTTAACATCAACCATATTGTGTTTACAGTAACTGCAATCTGACAGAGTGACTTTAACATCAACCATATTGTGTTTACAGTAACTGCAATCTGACAGAGTGACTTGATGTGTTTACAGTAACTGCAATCTGAAAGTGTGACTTTAACATCAACCATATTGTGTTTACAGTAACTGCAATCTGACAGTGTACTCCCACGTGTGGAGCTGGAAGTATCCATGACTGCCTATTTGCCTATTTAATGTTCAGAAACTCAGCGCTTGTAATATCTTCTTGTTTTAGTTAAGCCTGATACTTAGCCTGGTAAAGAATATTTTACTCGTCCGTCAGTGTACTACAAATCAATACTGTCATGGTAGAGATACACCTACACGTATTAACTGAATCATTTGAAAGAATCATGGCTGCTGTAATGAGCAGCCTGAATATTAAGGAGCATCACATCGTAGAATTATCAGAATCATAGCAAGCATCAATATAAATACTAAACACAGTCTGCATAAGTATTAAGCATTTTAAAGGAAACTTTGTGGCCGTCTTGGATTTTCAGTGCTTAACTTTAATTGGTTCTTGTTTGGTTCGGTAACATGTGGTCACCTTCCATCAATATAATGTCGAACTTAACATTAGGAACTCCTACTCTAATCAATATTAGTCATCGTCATGGGATTTGGGAGATCCTTCTCTAATCAATATTAGTTATCATTGGTTTATATGGCTGACAATCAAGCATGCTATACGAGTGGCTATCGACTACCAAATATGGTCAAATACAATTAGCAAGTGTCGAGGTGCCAGAGGTCATTGACTGACATTGGACCTGTTCAGCATTGTGACAGAGATGGCCGCCTGTCGATACATGTCTGTGTAGGCATGACTTCAAAAAGCCATCAATATTCTTATCGAAATTATCTGCTATAGCTAGCATTAAAGACATGTGTTACAACAGATGATCCTTTCAACATAATTATTCCACAGGCTTTCTGTCTTCAACAATCTGTAAAATGTGGTAAAATGTGTGTTGTTGTTTGACTTTGGACTTTCAAATATTGGAGCATCACAGGGCTATATGTACATTTTCGTTGCGTGTCAAAGGTGAGATGACAAAAAGATTCAAATAGTTGGTTTCATTTCAGCCTAATTGTAAATTAATTTGTTTATGGCGTTTTAACTTTACGTTTAGTTGACACGCCATTGACATCTAGTAGATAATTCGCCATTAATTCCAGGATGAAACACCTACTTTTATCTTTTCTGTCCTTCTCAAGTTCGTGGACATGTCAGATTCCAGTGTCTCTGAGGACAAAATTACACTCTGTACATCTAAGCAACATGTGGCCCTAAAGGTTTTTATGTTCCTATTTCTTGCCTTGTTAACAGGGTCTATCAACTGTAATGTAAACTGTTGCAGTTCCAGGAACAAGTAGATAAAAACTTCTTAATACATCAAATATTTCTACTTTGTTATTCATAATACATGAAAGTATTTAGAAATGACTTCCACAGTTAGGCGAAATCCATTTAGATGAACTAAAACACATTAATTACCTTGCTTGCTCCGTCTTGGCGGAAAAATATTAGTCTCCATCTGCTTAAACATATCAGATACTTTGGATAATCAAAGGCAGATGCCCCAGCAGTGAGCAAGAGCAGGCAGAGCATTATGAATGTCATCTCCACGTCTGTAAGATAGAAGGGGCACGGGTGGCCCAGTCGTCTAAGGCGCCGCGATTCGCTGGGCAGAGTTGCGTCCCTTGAGCACGCCAGAAACCTATGATTGTGGTTTCGAATCCCGGTTCGCCCCGAATATGTTTCTAGGTTTGTCAGCACTATAACCGTGCTCGTGGGTTTCACCTAAGTGGTTAACGTTCACATGCCGTGATATAACTGGAATACTGTTAAAAGCGGCGTTAAACCCAACTCACTCACATTCACTGTCAGATAGAAATAGACGAAAATGGAAAAGGTACCACCCATATATTTATACATTTCCTTTCACATAACGTGTACATACAGCATCTCTAGCGTTAAAAAACATGTCTTTTATCTGTGTATGAACAACAAATATTATCTGAAGCTGACATTGGTGTATTTCCAAATATTGTACTGATGAGGTGGTGTTTGTTCCTATTTACATCAAACACGTCCACAATGTTCAAAGTGTGTATTGTTGGCATAGTTACAAAGAACGTATGTGGATGGTTGACATGCTAATGGATTACACCATGCTACAGCCTTTGTGTATGTATTTTTGAAAGTATTCTCCCAAAGAGTCGATTGTACTATTACACGAAAGTTATCAAAATTGAAAGAATGCCAATGGCTTATTCGTCTCAAATTTAGATGTTATATGCTGTTCAAAAGAGCACCTCAGTCATTATGTATGACCAGTACCACAATTTTAAGTGAGGTGTTCCAAGAAAACAGAACTATGGTTTCATGAAAATATTTGCAATATTTGGGTCTTGTTTTATCAAATATAGGCCATAAAAACAAATAGTGATATTTGTCCGCGATATCTTTTGAAGTGGGATAATTTGCCATCTTCTTACTTTAATTGGCATATAACATCAACATTTGAAGGATTATGCCAATGGCATTCTTTCAATTTTGATGGATAACCCTCAAAGTTAAGAACATTTTTATGCCGTTAATGCAGACACCTTTAGAGGAACATTTATGTTACACAACCACTTCTCTGTGTGTCAGTTAGGTAAAGCTCAAGTATTGATGTTATCAGTGTCATTGAAACATTTCAGATATCATATTATTTATTTCTCTCGAAATAGCGGATAAAATAATAAAAGAATTACAAACTCATACACATTAAGGACTACATTTTAAACATGACTAAATAATGTTGCAAACATGTTTTACACGGGAGTATTTGGGAAAGTAAGGAGATGTTTTGTTAATACCTCAGAGTAAACAGAATATTCTGCAGGTCTTAAATGACAATTACAAGTTTTACAATGTCTCTTAGTGGAATAAAACACACAGTTTTAGATGACATTGCATTCTGTAAGGCATGAACAACTGAATTCCATTTGCAAGTCAAGATTAATCCAAATACACATTCCTCTACCTTGTTTAGACGCTGTCTACCTGTGTCATTAATGGGCATGAATCAGGCAATATACTTATCGTATAACAGTACAGTGGACTCTGTTTTTGACAGAGTTGGTTTGTGATTATGGAAATGTTTTGTTTTGTTTATTTTGCTTTTATTTTCAAATACATGTCCTTGAAAGTCCTTGGGAGAATACTTACAGAAATACACACACAAAGGCTGTGGCCTGGTGTAATCCATCAGCGTGTCAACCATCCATATACGTTCTTTGTAACTATGCCCACAACACACACTTTGAACAATGTGGACGTGTTTGATGTAAATAGGAACAAACACCACCTCATCAGTACAATATTTGGAAATACACCAATGTCAGCTTCAGATAATATTTGTAGTTCAGACACAAATGAAAGACATGTTTTTAACAATAGAGATGCTGTATGTACACGTCATGTGAAAGGAAATGTATAAATATATGGGTGGTACCATTTCCATTTTCGTCGATTCCTGACTTACAGACATGGAGAAGACATTGATATTGTTCTGCCTAATCTTGGTCACTGCTGGGGCGTCTGCCTTTGAAATACCCAAAATAGCTACAAGGTTTAGGTTCCCATCTCGAGACAGACAGGCCAATTTGTCTTGGCCAAGAGGGAGCAAGCAAGGTAATTATTGCGACTTCAGTTCATCTAGATTAATTACGCCTAATTGTGGAAGTCATTTCTAAATACTTTCATGTATTATGAATAACAAAGTAGAATTATTTGATGTATCAAAAAGTTTTTGTCTACTTGTTCCTGGAACTGCAACAGTTTACATTAGAGTTGATAGACCCTGTTAACAAGGCAAGAGTGAGTGAGTGAGTATGGTTTTACGTCGCTTTTAGCAATATTCCAGCAATATCACGGCGGGGGACACCAGAAATGGGCTTCACACATTGTACCCATGTCGGGAATCGAACCCGGGTCTTCGGCGTGACGAGCGAACGCTTTAACCACTAGGCTACCCGACCGCCCAACAAGGCAAGAAATAGGAACATAAAAACCTTTAGGGCCACATGTTGCTGAGATGTACAGAGTGTAATTTTGTCCTCAGAGACACTGGAATCTGACATGGCCACGATGAACTCGTCTGTTTCCAACTTCATGAAGCATGTCCACGAACTTGAGAAGGACAGAAGAGATAAAAGTAGGTGTTTCATCCTGGAATTAATGGCGAATTGTCTACTAGATGTCAATGGCGTGTCAACTAAACGTAAAGTTAAAACGCCATAAACAAATTAATTTACAATTAGGCTGAAATGAAACCAACTATTTGAATCTTTTTGTCATCTCACCTTTGACACGCAACGAAAATGTACATATAGCCCTGTGATGCTCCAATATTTGAAAGTCCAAAGTCAAACAACAACACACATTTTACCACATTTTACAGATTGTTGAAGACAGAAAGCCTGTGGAATAATTATGTAAGCAAAGCACATTCGGTGTATTCTCATTAAAATATTGAAGGATAATCTGTTTTAAATACATGTGTTTAATGCTAGCTATAGCAGATAATTTCGATAAGAATATTGACGGCTTTATGAAGTCATGCATACATAGACATGTATCGACAATTTTGATAAAGATTTATACTGACAACTATAAGACATTCTGGCAGTTGAGAATGTATCATATGCAAGGATTCCAGTTCTCCATGTCCAAACCTGAAATGAAATTGAATAATAACAAAACTGTCCCAACTGCTGTAGTGTGCTTGTTACTGTTTTCAGACAGGGCCGTGGATGAGAAGATGGAGGCTACGCAGAAAGAGCAAGCAAAACTAGGCCAGAAAATGAAAAGTCTCAGTTCGTCCTTGAACAACTTTACAAGCACTGGTAGTAGAACCAATTATTAACAATAGCACTTCTTCTCAATATCACATCTGGTAAATTAGAAAACTAGCTATACTTGTTGGAGGTGCTTTCATGATTTACCCAACGCTGGAAGTATTTCCATTGTTTTTAGGCATGTGAACGTGGAGAGTTTTTTTAATATTAACTTACCTTTGAGATGTCATTGCATTCTTAAATAACCAAACAAATTCAATCGGGCTACAAATGCTATCTGAACAGGGTGTGCCTGGGCTGTGGTACACTCTTCAAAAAAAGAAACGCATAGGTGTTTTGAGAATTCCAATTAGATTTTTTCCCCAAGCAATCGTCATAAAGACAATTCTTATGTTTGATTCCCGTTAATCATGTCATGTGTGTGGTGCATTGCGCGCAAACACATCTCAACATGTTTTTTTGTAAACGTTCATCAGCAAAAATGCAAAGCATGCACGGAAATTGCTTTCAGCAAAAGATTTCAGCACAATGCACGTGCAAATTGTTGGAAACAAGAGTAGAGACACTGACTCTAAAAGATCGCACAGAATTCATCAGTTCATTACGAATTTTCTGACGTGAACGGAGATCGAAAAATACCAAGATTAACTGCAGCTGCAGCAGAAATATCGCCATTAGACGTTTGGAGGCAGGGGAGTCCCGGTCTGCCGTTGCAAGACACTTCAACGTTCACCAAAGCACCATATCTCGACTATGGGATCGATATACCCGCACTAATTCGACTCAAGATCATCCAGGAGGTGGAAGATCAAGTGTAACCACCCTGCTAAGGATCGGTACATCCGGTTGCATCACCTTCGGAATCGATTTGCTACAGCAACGGACAGCAGGACAAGTGCCTGGTATGCGAAGAATTTCCGACCAAACCATCAGAAATCGTCTGAGGGAAGTGGGAATTCGAGCGAGACGACCAAAAGTTGGACCTGTCTTGCGACGTCTCCACCGTCAACAACGTGTCCGGTGGTGCAACAGAGTACAGGCATGGGAACTGGCGACGCGTTTGGTTCAGCGATGAGTCACGTTTTCTTCTTCAACGACGGGATGGAAAACAACGTGTATACCGACGTCGACATGAACGTTTTGCGCCGAACTGCGTTCGACAGGTGGACCGATTTGATGGAGGGAGTGTCATCATGTGGGGAGCCATATCCTACACTGGTAGATCACAGTTAGTGGTTGTCCAGGGCAATCTTACAGCAAACCGATACACAGACCAAATTCTGCGTCCTCACCTCCTCCCAACTTTGGACCGCCAGAGGGAGCTGTTCCAACATGACAACGCTCGGCCCCACACAGCACGTGCAACAGTTAATTTCCTTGTTAATGAGAACATCAATGTCCTTCCTACTTGATCGACGCGTCCGTCAACGTCACCAGCGTCCCCACACACTGGCACAACTCGCCAACGCCTTACAGGAGGAATGGCGAAAAATTACCCCGACAAAATCCGACGACTTGTGCAATCTGTGCCAAGGAGGTATCGAGCAGTGACGGCTGCAAGAGGTGGTGTGACCAGGTACTGACCATGACGCCCCCTTGTGGCTACACATGTGCAGTGACTGAACTGAATTAATGCTGTCGATGACGACAGTGCTTTTGTCGATCACTGTGTCTAATTTCATTTGATTGTGTTCACGCATATTCTGTGTAGATACTTTTACATCCGCTTAATAAATATGCTTATTTTTTAACTATGCGGTTGTTTTTTTGAGAGTATATGTTTCTCAAGCCCATGTTGTGTAGAAAGTAATTTATGTCCTTCGGGAGATATGGGATTGACGAACTTAACAACCTTAAACATGTTCAGAAACTCATTGCCTACATATTGTTTGGGATTACGTTTTATAGAATCAAGAGATCGTGTAATATAGCTATTTATTCCATCATACCACTTGCCCGACATCTGTCGACACTCTGCTGCTGATTGCGGCCCCCAGTCAGGCGATGTGATCGATAATCAAGATCTGTATTGTGATATGACGAGTCTTACTTCGCGAACTGCATCAAATCACGTGTGCACCATGTTTAAAAACATGAAAAAGATTTTGAAAATATCTGTTGATGCCGAGTTGGCGGTACACATGCTTTGCAAATCCTGCAATCAACCGAAATCTTCACGGCAGCCTGCGAACAGGATGTTGCTTTCGTTACGCGATTTTGATTGGACTATGCATAGACTCGTTAGTCGAGCCAAACAATAACTCCATAATACCAGCCTAGTTCGACAAATGTTGAAATTTTTATATTCAGTTACCGCTCTAGCCTCGGGAAGATGGGGGGTAAACTGGTATTGACTTGATCAGGATATTGATGCTTCGTCAAATAAAGTTAAATGTTATAATTATTAGGTCATTCCTCACTGATCTTAGTCTAGGAACCACGTAACATTTCGACCAAGTGACAGTAGTTCCAGCTACAGTTGATATTAGAATCAATGTTATTTCTGTCGGATGAATACATCATTGAACGAACACATCAAGCGACAACCTAGTTTCTCCTTCAGAGCTCAGTCTGTATATTCGTGTTGCAGTAAGGAGGCAGCAACAAGAGATGCAACAACTTGTAGAGTCTGTTAGCCTCAGGACTGAACACATTGAGGATGTCATGAAGAAAGCTTCTGAAGAGAAACGCGGTAGGTCACATCTTTTATCCATTTCATGGAACTCCATGTCGAATACTGAGTAACTTCCAGCAGGATACTAGTATACTAAGATAAATGTATCAAGTAGTACTCAAGTTCAAGATCATTTATGTGTTTTCTTAACTAGCTCAAAATAATGGTTACATTGTTATTAAAAATGAATTGATGAAATATCCCTCCACAGAAATATATTTGATTTCATCACAACCTGTTGCATTGTTGCTCCACTTTGTATCAGTAGGAAGCAAGATACATCTTTTTAACCGATCAAAACCAAGCATTCTTCAATGTCTTGGTAGAGTTCCAATTGGTAATCTGTATTTATGAAGGATTTTGCAAATATCTGGTATCATCACTTTTCTATAGTATTAAAGTACAATCGACTCTGTTTAGCATATATACTGAACCGCAAAGGAAACGTTACCATGGATAGATATATGAGAAACCGTATTTGTCCAAACACTGTAAACATACTTTGAGACATATTGAAAAGATTAAACTTGGCAAAACTGATCATCAAGGTTGAAATTAAAGTGTCAAATATTCTTAAAGTGAAACACAACACTAGTCTGAGAAAATGGCATTACAAGTCAGTATCTCATGTTGCCGCCATGTGCATTGATGGCTGCCGTGCAACGTCGATACATGGAATGGATGAGGCGGTTCATAAAGGCCATTGGCACTTGAGCCCATACTCCGAGGAACGCCTGACGCAGTTCTGCTGCAGTTGTCGGCCTTGGTCGGACGTCATTCAGCCGTCTTTGAATCTCGTCCCACAAGTGCTCAATGGGATTTAAATCGGGACCGAGGGCAGAACACTGCATGGTTCTGACGCCATTCTGCTGGAAGAAGTCTCTTGTTGCTCTCGCGGTGTTGGCACGGGCGTTATCATGTTGAAACTCATGGTTGCGGCGACGTGCCAAATGATGTATGGCGTGTGGTCTCAAGACTTGATCAATGTACCAAGCTGCTGTGACACCATTGCTTCTCCCAGGACCGATGTTCTGGAAGACCACAGGGCCGATCCTCTGTGCAAGACCAATTCCACCTCACTCTATGATGCTCTGAGCACCCCACGAGTCTCGCTCCAGAACACAAGCATCCGAATAACGTTTCCCACGGCGTCGCCAGACTCTCTCTCTGCCATCTGCTGTTGAGTAACTGGTCTCGTCTGAGAAGAGGACTCTTCTCCACTGCTGGTGGCGCCAGTGCTGGTGCTGTGTTGCCCACTGAAGACGGTTCCGGCGATGACGTGGTGTCAGAATGGGTCCTCGGTGTGGCCTGTGACAGTGGAGGTGTCAGCTCGTCAATCATCGACGCACGGTGTCGCTGTTGTGTCCCCATGGTCTGTTGAGCAGTTTCCGCAGCAGTAACAAAACGATCTTGAAGATGCTGTCGCACAATCTCACGATCCTGACGTCGGGTGGTGACCCTTGGTCTTCGACTAAATGGTCGGTCATCTGTAGTGTTGGTGGTCTGGTACCGTTGCTGGAGCCTGTATATGGTCCTTACGTGGACTTGAAATGCATTAGCTACTAGCCGGGCGTTTTGTCCAGCTTGCAATCGTCCAAGGGCTTGTGTCGCTGATTTCTTGTCAATCTTGGCATGTGGTAGCAATTCAATAACGAATGAATGTTATTCGATCTGGGTGGATTTTTATAGGGCAAGAAATGGGGGAACCAATGTGCATTTCAATTGGCACGGAACTCACGTGCATCGGGTGACCATGGCCGTTGCCGTGATGCGTTTGCGCAATCGGTTTTATTGTCATCGGCTTTGTTTTTTTTATCATCAAATTTCATTTTTCCGGACAAGGTAATGTTAAATTTTAGAAACTTTGACAAAAACTACCCAGATATTTAAATGACAACTTTTCATGAAATGTTACTCGGGGTGACGTTTCTTTTGCGGTTCAGTATATTTCTTACGAGAAGGGAAGGGTTTTGTTGCTTTTAATTAACCATGTTTCCTCTTACAGCCCACACTAATCTGGCCTTAAATAAACCTACAAAGAGTAGCAGCACCTACCCTGGTTCCCATCATGAGAATCTCGTGGACGGTAGTCCATATCTCGACTGGAAGAGAGGTAGCTGTTTCGCGTCGACTTTTGCCGACCAGATACCTTGGTGGCAAGTGGACTTAGAAAACACATACAGCATCACCGACGTCAAAGTATCAACAAGGCTGGATTTCAGTGGTAGGTGTATGAGCTACCGGACAGACCGGCTAACTGACTAAAGATATCCGATCTAACAAGCATATTCAATCTACAGCTGGACTTCTCTAGTGAGGGACAGTTTTTTTTTATCCTCACCCCCAAAAATTATCCCAGAAAATTCTTGAAAAAAATATATTACCTTCAGACTGTTCGAAAAGGAAAACATTGCACTCGAAACCGTCAATATGTGATTTGACATCAAAATGTTAATATGAAATGTAGATTATGCAATGAATTTAATGACACTCCATCACATTGCCAGTGGACGCCCCGCTTTGGCACAAACACAGTATCTAAAGCGACATAATGGTGTAACTCGATCATTTTATTACCGTCTTCGCCTGTGGTTTTGACACAGAGGTCCATCCATGGTACGACCGGGAATATGAACAGGGCGTCATGGAAAATGATGAATACAAAATTCTTTGAAATAGGCTCGTATACATCCTCAGACCTTTCCGGGCCATCAGACCCGTTTGGATACATCCCATGAAATCATTTATATCATTGAATATTCTGTCCCTTTTGACACTATGTGATTGACAAGATTGAGGAAAATCATGCCAAATATGCGGACCTCGCTTTCGAAATGTCATGCTTGCATCCCAAGTACCAAGTTGTCCGACTCCCCATTGTTCTCGGTGCCTTAGGTTTGGTACCTCCCAATCTGTTGACTGACATTGGGAGAGTACCCGGGTTTGCTACCAGGAATACAGCCCTTCTGACAATCTGGGTAATGCAGAAGGCTGCAGTGTTCATATGGGAGTCTTCACTTTCTCCGAAAAGTTCTGGGTGGGTTTGACTAGGCAGCGCTTCCTGGGAGAAGACCCATTCGCTGTCTGGGCTGCGTGTAGAGGGGGCAAGGGCCCTGAGCTGATGATGAGCCAAACCAGCCTGACTGTGCCAGGATCACCCAAACCCTCTTTGCTGCATTTTATATTTTAATCTGTACATAATAATAAGTACATTTGTTAAACGTTTAACTCCATACACTGTGAATGCTCATAGCGCTACATTACGTAGGGGGGAAACTATGGTGATACGAGGTCCTAGATACAAGACAAATAGATGTGGCAGTTGTTGTTGATTTTAGATTTGATTAAAGAACTGAACGGGAATGTTTTGAGAGGGACTGGAAAATTGTTAGAGTTTCTGAATGCGTGCATGTAATCTGGTTAACTGCTGATTGGCGATGTTACAGAGTAGACTATTGCAATGAGCGAGTCTCGTGAGCACAAGGCTTATGACAAGCATATGGTAGCATCAGTAGAAAGAAGGTGTCCGATTGCTCCGATATTTCTAAGCTGGAAATGGCATATTCTGCAGATCTTAAGATATGTTGTCTTAAGATAAGTGGGATAACGCCACGGTTTTTTACCGATAACTTTATTTGAAATTGTCCAACATTTACCGATGTTACAACTGCGATGGCGTCAGTCTGGTCAGGATTGAGTTTTAGCGTATTGTTAGTCATCCGAGATTTCATTTCATGTGTACAGTCCTCCACGTGTATGATGGCAGTTCGGGAATCAGGAGGGGGAGCATTATGGGGGAAGTGTCGTCAGCATGTAAATGATGACCAATGCCCGTAGATGAGATGAGTTCAGAGGTATAGAAGGAAAACAAAATGGGACCAAGTACGGATCCTTGTGGAGCAGCAAACGTCAGCGTTGTGCAGGTGGTTACTCCGATGGTAACTGACTGAAAACCTACTGCAATTTGTCTATCAGGGAATGAAGTGATAGATGAGATAGATGTCAGTCTAATCTTAATGACTCTCTCAACTAGTTTAGAGAGAAATGGTAAGTTAGACACAAGCAAATAGTTACTGAGTTTTGAATTATCCAGGTTTTGCTTCTTAATTATATGTTTCACTACCGCTTCCTTCAGAGTCAGCGGAACGGATCCTGTGTTTGAGAAGTATTTATATGTACATCAATAGGATCGTTGTACATATTGGATCAAGATCACATGTAGTGGGCTTGCTGTCCTTTACAAGGTCGTGGACAAATCTGACTCCACTAAACAGAGTAGAACGAGTAGAGTCTTGGCTAGTTGTATCATCTAGTAGAACTTGACGAATCTTCTCAATCTTTTCCATAAAGTAGGCGTTAAAACTAGCTCCAAGATCATTACCGTATGAAGACGGTTGCACAATGTCCTTCTTTTTGCCCAAGAGTGCATGAACAGAGTCATTTGCACTCTGAGATTTGTAACGCACAGTATTCGCTCTTTGACTTTCGCATTTGGCGGGTGGCTGCATTCCTAGTTTTGTTATAAATCTGTCGGTTGACCTCTAAATGTGAGGCTTCCTCCACTGACACTCTGCATTGCACAGAGTTACAAAAAACCATCTTTGAATAAATCTTCGTCAATGTTCTTCAGATTATGGCAGGTAACTTCCACGTGTTCAGTGGGGGTACCAGCAAGGGAAGGGACAGCATAAACATGATCGTACATTCTAGTTGTGGGAGCAGTGACATGTTGACTAAATCCACGGTTGTCAAAGAAGTTTAATAAACTTCATCACTTCGGGTTTATCCTTGTCATAAAAAATGAACATAAAAGTCTCCAAGTATAAGTAGATTCTTCGGGGGGGGGGGGGGGTGACTTCCTAGTAATAAAGTCAACTCTTGGTAAAACTGCGTCAAACGAATCGGATTTCCCTTAGAAAGGGCGGTCTATAGATACAAGCAGTTCGGAGAGCTGAATATGATATCACGACTTCCAACAATTCAAAAGAATCATGTAGCTTTTTTCAAATTTGAAACAATTTGAACGCAAACTTTGAATGAAGTCAACATTTTCAAGTAGCAGATCCATGAATTATTGTATGAATTATCACAAAGCATTGCATACACAACATAACATATACAGCACCGAAGCACACTAACATGTACATGCAACATCTTTTGTTGGGCTATACAAACGTTGGGTTTCCATTTGTATGCCAGCACAATCTTACAGCAGGAGAACAGCGAAAACATGTCAGGACTGACGGAAGCCCAACGCAACAACGCCATCGGCCGACTGCAAACAGGAGAACCATCTTCAGCTGTAGCCAGGTTTTACCACGTAGCACCAAGCACCATTACAATACTGTGGAACCGTTATCGGACACACGGGGCAACACGTGACCTTCCAAGATCCAGTCGACCACGTATCACTACTAAAGCACAGGACATTCATACAGATGTCAGTTAATTTAACGTCACAACTTTACACGGATCAGATTCTTCGGCCGGACGTCCTTCCCATTATGCAAAAAGCGAACATCATTTTCCAACAAGACAACGCCCGACCTCACATGGCAAGACTGACATCAGCCTTTTTCAGAAGTCATAACATCGAGGTCCTCCCCTTTCCCCCTAGGTCTACAGATTTAAACCAAATCGAACATGAATGAGATTCACTGGATCAACGACTAGGAGGACATGAGCAAGAACCTCAGAACCTCCAACAGTTGGCACAAGCACTGCAGGCAGAGTGGGTGAACATTCCCCAGGCCACAATTCAGGATCTGATTGCTTCCATGAGACAACGATGCCAGTCAGTTTTGGACTATAATGGTGGTCATACAAGATATTGAGAACGGATTACATTCATCTTGAAATCTGCTGTTCCATGTGTACCATATGGAATTTGGGTTAATGACAATGATGTGTGCCAATTTTGAACAATCGATTACCATCTGTTGATTATATATATGATATATAAAATATACATCTAAAATAACATTTGCGTTTCTTTTCTTGCAGAGAATATTGTATTTAAAAACCGAAATGTATGTTTCAGGTGATCGGTTGCACGACTTTAACCTAGAAGTGTTTTCCGATGATCCTACTATCAACACGGAGGCGCAATCACAGATGTGTTACTTCCATAAAGGCATGGTCGCTGGGTTGGGCAAAACCAAAACTATCCCATGTACAGAACCAGTTGTAGGTCGCTTCCTCAGACTCACCTCCACAGCAAAAAGAGACAGAGGGGACCTCCTGCAACTATGTGAGGTCGAGGTATTTGGCAGGGACGTCCAATAATCTGACGCATGTCTTTGTGGTCGATACGTCCATCATCTGACAAGAACATGTGGTGAATTCCCAGCCGTATTGACATAAACCTGATCAACAGTAAACATTCCTGTGTTGTTTTGTGTCCTAGGAGATATCACTTGTGTGAGATAAGCCTCCTAGAAGATATCGCTTGTGTGAGATAAGGCTCCTAATATATATAACTTGTGTGAGATAAGGCTCTTAAGATATACCGCTTGTGTGAGATAGGCTCCTAAGATATATTGCTTGCGTGAGATAAGGCTCCTAAGATATACCATTTGTGTGAGATAAGCCTCCTAAGATATACCGCTTGTGTGAGATAAGGCTCCCAGGAGATGTCGCTTGTGTGAGATAAGGCTCCCAGGAGATGTCGCTTGTGTGAGATAAGGCTCCCAGGAGATGTCGCTTGTGTGAGATAAGCCTCCTAAGATATACCGCTTGTGTGAGATAAGGCTCCCAGCAGATGTCGCTTGTGTGAGATAAGGCTCCCAGGAGATGTCGCTTGTGTGAGATAAGGCTCCTAAGATATACCGCTTGTGTGAGATAAGGCTCCCAGGAGATGTCGCTTGTGTGAGATAAGGCTCCCAGGAGATGTCGCTTGTGTGAGATAAGGCTCCTAAGATATACCGCTTGTGTGAGATAAGCCTCCTAAGATATACCGCTTGTGTGAGATAAGGCTCCTAAGATATACCGCTTGTGTGAGATAAGGCTCCCAGGAGATGTCGCTTGTGTGAGATAAGGCTCCCAGGAGATGTCGCTTGTGTGAGATAAGGCTCCTAAGATATACCGCTTGTGTGAGATAAGCCTCCTAAGATATACCGCTTGTGTGAGATAAGGCTCCCAGGAGATGTCGCTTGTGTGAGATAAGGCTCCCAGGAGATGTCGCTTGTGTGAGATAAGGCTCCCAGGAGATGTCGCATGTGTGAGATAAGGCTCCCAGGAGATATCGCTTGTGTGAGATAAGGCTCCCAGTAGATATCGCTTGTGTGAGATAAGGCTCCCAGGAGATATCGCTTGTGTGAGATAAGGCTCCCAGGAGATATTGCATGTGTGAGATAAGGCTCCCAGGAGATGTCGCATGTGTGAGATAAGGCTCCCAGGAGATGTCGCATGTGTGAGATAAGCCTCCTAAGATATACCGCTTGTGTGAGATAAGCCTCCTAAGATATACCGCTTGTGTGAGATAAGCCTCCTAAGATATACCGCTTGTGTGAGATAAGGCTCCCAGGAGATGTCGCATGTGTGAGATAAGCCTCCTAAGATATACCGCTTGTGTGAGATAAGGCTCCCAGCAGATGTCGCTTGTGTGAGATAAGGCTCCCAGGAGATGTCGCTTGTGTGAGATAAGGCTCCTAAGATATACCGCTTGTGTGAGATAAGGCTCCCAGGAGATGTCGCTTGTGTGAGATAAGGCTCCCAGGAGATGTCGCTTGTGTGAGATAAGGCTCCTAAGATATACCGCTTGTGTGAGATAAGCCTCCTAAGATATACCGCTTGTGTGAGATAAGGCTCCTAAGATATACCGCTTGTGTGAGATAAGGCTCCCAGGAGATGTCGCTTGTGTGAGATAAGGCTCCCAGGAGATGTCGCTTGTGTGAGATAAGGCTCCTAAGATATACCGCTTGTGTGAGATAAGCCTCCTAAGATATACCGCTTGTGTGAGATAAGGCTCCCAGGAGATGTCGCTTGTGTGAGATAAGGCTCCCAGGAGATGTCGCTTGTGTGAGATAAGGCTCCCAGGAGATGTCGCATGTGTGAGATAAGGCTCCCAGGAGATATCGCTTGTGTGAGATAAGGCTCCCAGTAGATATCGCTTGTGTGAAATAAGGCTCCCAGGAGATATCGCTTGTGTGAGATAAGGCTCCCAGGAGATATCGCATGTGTGAGATAAGGCTCCCAGGAGATGTTGCATGTGTGAGATAAGGCTCCCAGGAGATGTCGCTTGTGTGAGATAAGGCTCCCAGGAGATGTCGCTTGTGTGAGATAAGGCTCCCAGGAGATATCGCATGTGTGACAAAATGCTCCTAGGAGGTATTGCTGCAGTGGAATTCCTTCACCGTGCTGTGCAGATCGTTGTGACGTTAAGAATGATGTTGGGATATCAATATGACCTCGCATCTTATGATATCAAACATATCAACTTTTATCAAATAGTGTTGATTATATTTGCTATAAAAAAGATACTCGGAGAGCCTCGGTTGTTTTAAACTTTTATCCACACGTGTTTATTATATTTGAAATAAAAAGGTACTTTCTTCATTTCACAATATCTACGTTTATACATTGTTTATAACTAAGTCGAAAAAGAAAGTATAGGTTGGCAATTTGTAATTTTCCTAAAAAGAGCAATAACTAGTGGAAAGTGGGTATTGGGAATATAACTACCAAGGAACAGGTACCAAAAAACACCTCACCCGAACGCGCCCCTTTTGACGGCGCTCGTGCGGTGACAAAAAAATGACGAAACAGGTTTCCAGCCAATGGTATAAACTGCACGTGCATTTTAGCTGTACAAATGCGTTCGTCTGCAGGGTATAACCACACGTGATGAAAGCACACAAATGAAATGTCACGACTGTCACAGGAGCAGAGAGAGAGAGAGCCATCGGTATGGTCGAAATGGGGGCAACACAGGTCCAAATTGCCAGAAGGTTTGGTTTACACCATTGACAGTAGCCAGGCTGATTCAACGGTACAGGCAGACAGGGAGGACAGAGGACAGGCCTAGAACCGGACGACCCCGAGTGACAACACCACTGGGAGGCGGTCAGATACGGCTCATTCACCTGCGAAACAGATTCGTAACGGCGACGGCGACGACAGCAACAGCTTTGGGACATCCCATTAGCCAACGTACAGTACGACGACTTCGTGCTGCTGGAATCCGAGCGTATCGTCCTTTCCGAGGAATGGTACTGACTGCTCAACATCGACGCCTGAGACTGCGATGGGCGAGGCAGGTTCGACGCTGGCAAGTGAGAAACTGGCGTCGAGTGCTGTTTACTGATGAAAGTCGGTTTAACTTGTTTCGAAATGATGGCAGAGAACGAGTTTATCGACGCAGAGGGGAACGTTTGGCTCCGGCGTGTATTCGAGAGGTCCATGGTGTGGGTCGGTATTTGTGGAGATCAGAAGACTGATTTGGTGGTTATGCAGGGCAACCTGAACGCTGTGCAGTACAGAGACCAAGTGTTGCAGCCAGTTGTGCTTCCGTTCTTACAAAACAGCAGGGGACATTGTTTCAACACGACAATGCCAGGCCCCATACTGCAAGACTGACTCGGAACTTTCTAAACCAGCAGAACGTTGACGTTTTTCCCTGGCCTGCCCACTCACCCGATACGAATCCTATTGAACATCTGTGGGACCATCTTGACAGACAGATTAGAGCACGCCATCAGCCTCCCGTCAAAACTGGCAACGGATTCCAGTCCGGGTCATCAGAAGTCTGACGTCATCGATGAGGCGGCGTATCACAGCATGCATTGAGGCAGCTGGAGGTCATACATGCTATTGAAGGCAACTGTCTCGACAATGAACTTGTAGTGTGTCTAACAATTGTTTGGTGACATTTCAGACAACTTTTGAAAATTGAAATTTGAAATTTCTTACCCCATCATTGTTTACCTTGAGCTTACATTACCCGTGATTGCACGATGTCATTCAAACTGTGGTTGATCAATCATTTGTTACCCCTCCCTAGATTATATTATAATTCACAACAAAACCTCCTATTGTTATTTTTTTTCGATCATGGAACTAGACCTATACTTTCTTTTGCCGCCCAGTTTATATATATATATATATATATATATATATATATATATATATATATATATATATATATATATGAGTGGCGAACGTGGAAGAAACCATTTATAAATTGATGAATTCTCTAAAACGATCACCCACTGGGCAAAACTGTTAAATAGAACACCAACAAAACTCTCATGTGCAAAGTTCTACTACATATTGATGCGAAACTAAAACATGAGTGGCTCAGTTATACTCCAAATATTCACTCCCAGACAGGTAAAAACTACATTTGGACTTCTCATTCAATAGAAAAAAAAACAAACTTCAAAATTGAAAATATCAAAAATGGCCCTGAAGACCAATATATTCAAACATTGAGACCTGACATGGACTCCCCATCTGGGGATAAATTCCCTAAAGTTGTCCCATTGTTTACACAGGCATTCATTGGGTTGTGACATTTATGTTCAGGTTATCAAGAAACTGTGAATATAGATTCTTGTTCCATTTTCTAATCCTGATCACCTCTGTGATAATTTGTCCATCAGACCAATCTTGATTATAAGGGCAGTATGAACGGTTAGCAGACAGAGTTATGGCACAATGCACTTCTGAAAACAAAGTATCAAAATCTGAGTTATGCAAGGGAAGCTACTCACAATAGCATAATCTACAACTGTAGACTAAATTATAAACGATAACCTGTACAAGCTACTTGTCCCAGAGTTTTATCCATGCACATCCTTTCATTTAGTGTATACAATCCATGATTTTTACATATATCAAGTAATTTACATCCATGATTATTAACATGTCCTTTGTCCTGCATTGTTCGTTTTGTGGAGATGCCTAGTTCAGTCAGCTGCTGCAACTCATTGTCACCATTGTCTGGGTCATCATTGTCTGGATCATCATTGTCTGGATCATCATTGGCTGGATCATCATTGACTAGGTCATCATTGGTTGGACCATCATTGACTGGAGCAGCATTGGCTGGAGAAGCATTGGCTAGATCATCATTGGCTGGATCATCATTGGCTAGGTCATCATTGGTTGGACCATCATTGGCTTGAGCATCATTGGCTATCTAGATCATCATTGGCTGGGTCATCATAGGCTGGAGCATCATTGGCTGGATCATCATTGGCTGGAGCATCATTGGCTAGATCGTCATTGGCTAGATTATCATTGGCTGGATCATCGTTGGCTAGGTCATAATTGGTTGCATCATCATTGGTTGGACCATCATTGGCCATCATTGGCTGAGTCATCATTGGCTAGGTCATCATTGGCTGTAGCATCATTGACTGGAGCATCATTGGCCGGA